TTCGACCAACAATAATCGTTATTGTCATGCCTGAATAATTATTAAGCAATGTTGTCTCTTCCTTAAGGGAGTTATGTCATTTGTTCATAAGAATTTGGACATGAGATCAATGATAATTTATTTAGAATATCATAGTTGGAAATTAGATCAAACTCCACTTTGATCTTTCGAGGTCATTTGAAGTTCTATCTCAGATCTAGTTATGATATTCGAGGTGGGATTTTAATCTTATATTTAAACTTCATTCTGGAGGTTTATTTCCACTTCACGAAGTGGTATGACTCTCCTAATGGGATGTTTGGTCTCAAGATTCAGATTCAAAGTCGATTTTAAAATTCCCAAAGAAAACTGATCTTTTTCAAAATCAACTTTCAAAATTCCATCAACAATAACTTGCCCCAAGAACCTTAAGCGGCTTGAAAATCTAAGCACTCAATGATCTCTAGGCCAACATATTTCATGGAGGAAAGTCGTTGATTGATCGATGGGTATAACAAATATAGACAACTGCCATTGCCCGCCATTGATAGATTCCAACAACAACCAACGGTCAGTATTGTCCATCCTATGATAATCTTCATTGTTCTTACATTGTTACACATGTTGCCGCTTTCCAACGATCTATACCTACAACCATTATCCTCTGACCTTTGAGGCTTGCCATTTATAAAAATTGTGATCGATTGATGCTCGTTGTCACCTTAGATTGTGTTTAAATTTGTTATCATGCACCATCAACCATCAACAATAATGTTTTTCAACTTTCTCAGCCACTATTAAGGGATACCATCCCGATGATTGAAGTCTTGTAATCCTATCTCATCTATCAGCAAAGAAGAACAAATCATTGTAATCTTTAAGTTAAATAGTAAAACTATTTGTTTTTGTGTGAGAATTTCATGCAATTTAAGGTAATAAATTCTCTTTCAACAATAAACAAATATTCTAGCATTCAGCAAATATTACTATACTTTCCAAAAATAATTTACATAAAAATAGGATGGAGTTCCACACCACTTTGTTTAGATAGATCAATTAAAGAATGAAGTTGATTAAGCTTTGATACTCATTAGAAATTTCATCTGATCAATACGAAGCCTAATGCAATATTTATTTCTAAAACTTTTGAAATTAAATTTAAAATCTCTCGAACTTTAGTTTTAACAAATCTATTGTCAAATTGAGCATCTTGATGTAAGATGAGCCCCAACGAGAGTAAAAGTGATTTGATCATAATTCATATGAGTACAAATCATGCAATGGAAGAAAAATTGAAAACTTCATAGCCAAGGATCAAATAATTTAGAAAATTTGCATACTTATACTTAAATCAGGTAACAAAATTTAACAGGTCGAAGATTACTAGATGTTGAGGCATCGGTACTTAAATAATAAATTACTTGTCTATATTCAAAAGATTCAATATGAGCTGTATGATTGAGTTCTATAAAAAAATGACAAATTTTAATAAAATGTCACCCTTAAAATTCAATAAATAGACCCAAATTTGTAACATGAAAGTGTCATGAACTTCTTTTTTCTTTTTATGATCGAACGGTCCCGATTGAAGGTGACCTAAACTTAAAGCTTTGAAAGAGCTTAAAGATCTGAAGAACATTAGAGCTCTAACTGATGTTCAACACCGACGATCAATGCGACTAACTATGTGCCCGATTGCTGCCATTGACACCATCACCCAACAATTATAATCCATTCAGCATCATCTGATTGTCATCACAAGATCGTTATCCCCGACTGTTGTTACCCGACCATCTTTTTGCTAAACTAACCGAGGTTATTACCACACATTTATAAAGGGCTGCAAACCAACCGAGTCGAGATGGGATGCTTTTTAAGACCATTATATTTTTTCATTAAGACTATTGTTTATAAATGACTACAAAACTTCATAAAGCATTCCCATCTCATGAACAATGATAATAACCTATTAACAAATTCATGGCGTTAATTAGGGCCATGGATCATTAGCTTATATTGGCCGCCAACTTGCATCACTATTTTTTAAATCCATTTATGTTTCAAAATATTATCCCATAATCTGCCCCAAGCAGCTGAGCGGTTTGAATATCTAAGTACTCAATGATTTCTAGGCCATTAAGCATTTAATCCATAGGTAGATAGGCCTCTAACTGAGGCCAATTAGCTATCAACAGGAAGTTTATATTAAAAAATAGAATAATTATTGCTGTTAAGATGCCATATATCACCCTGCGGCCATGGGCGGCGGCTGGCGGTTGTGGCCGAGCTTGTTTGCGAACGGTTCTCGCCTAAAATTAGATGAGAACCGTTGACCTGAAAAATGAACTAAATTATATAATTTTTCAAAATCCATGCATTCGCTTTACTTTTTATTCATTTTACTTCAAATCAAACGTCATAAATACTAAATTTATTAAATGTTGGATGATAGTAGCTAACATATCACTCTGGAATAATAATATTATAATGTCATAGAATCTATGATTTTTTTTTTCGAAGTGATTGAAATCGGTCACTATCAAAAATTTTAAAATTGATTAATTCTAGCTTAGTTCGAGATCAAATCGTTCACTATCCACACGCACATAGAGGATAGTTTACATATAAGCAAAATTACATAATATAAAATTTAGGGTCTGTTTGGGATAACATTTTTGTTATAATTCTGTTTGGCTACTGCTTTATTATTGCTTTCTACAGCTTTTTAGAAATTAATGTGATGAAAAGCTATTTTCTATCAACTAGAATTATTAAGTTACTTTCCACACAATAATTTCACCTTCAATTTTCTAAAATGTCACATCCGTCTCAAACAGGCCCTTAAACTCCCTAAAGTTAATCTCCGGGCTTAGCTTGGTTGGTGGAAGAGCATGGTTGAGAACCCATAACTCATGTTAGAGTCCCCTCTCAAACGAGAGATTATTCTGTGCGGACGCCAAACACAGTTCACAGTCCGAAGACCAACCAGAATGCGCCACGTCAGCGACACCGAGCATGGGGTGACATGGTTCATTTGGTTGATCTCCGGACGACGTTCTACATCCACAGAGAATAATTTCACTCTCAAGCGGCTTGCCTGCTTTGCAGAGAGTAGCAAAGCATGAACCCGCTAGATTCCGCCAAGAAATTAGATACGTCGTCATGCACCTCAAAGGATGGCCGTTCCAAAAAAAAAAAAAATCCCTAAAGTTAGTTAAGTGTTTGAGAATAATGGATGAAGTAGTGGGGAGTACGTAGTCGTGTGGATTGCAAACTCCACAGCCATTTACTGCTATAATATGTGGCCATTAATTCCCCCAATACGCTTAGTGCTCATCCATTCACAAATCCACAAAATGTACATTATCGTGTTGTCAATAACCATTATCCTCCAAGAACTATTCGCGTGCTGCCGATTGCGACAGAGCTCATTATATAATAATAAGATTTTTAAATTAATTTTACATTCATTCTTATTTATATTCAAATTGATGATTAATTAAATAAGATAAATATAAAAAAATAAATTAGTTCATTTAATAAATAAATGATTAAATTTGATTAATTTATAGTACTAGCTAAGACGATAGATAAATAAAAATAATTTATATTCAATTAAGCTTCATTTAATATTAATAAATTTTATATGTTTTTTTAACTTTAGGTTTTAAAGTGTGGTATATTATAAATTATTTTTGAGAATAATGAATAATATCTTCGATAATTTTGTGATTATGAATAATATAATAATTATTATAATATATCATCATGATTTAATATATTATCTTTTATTATAATTCTGTTTATTTATATCTTCTCATAGATATATAAAGCAAAATTTGTACTATCATAATCAATAAAGCAAAAGAAAAAGGAAAAAAAAAAAGCCTTTTATATTTTCTACAATATAGGTCCAAAACAACTCATCTATTTCTAAGAGGATAATATTGACTTTATTCAATAAAATTAAAAATAAAAAATAGCAAAAAAAAAAATTATGCCTATATATCCTTAAATTTTTAAGAGCAGCTAGCTCATATTTTTTTTTAAAATAATAAATGAAAACTCAATAATATTTATTGAAAGGTTAACTATAAAAAATATTGTGCGCAAGCATTTTTGAAAATTGAAAAAATGATCAACTTGATCTTATGCTTAAAATGCAAGCAGATTTCTTTTTAAGGATTAATTACTTAGTTTTAGAGGTGTCAAAATGAGCCGTGTTTAAGTCCGTCCCAAAATTGACTTTACCCAAATCTAGACGATCAACTCGACCTGACTCATCCCGTTTAATAAATGGGTCAAAATGCGGACACGAACCCGACCCACTAGTAACCTGATGACCCAACCATATCTTATAACCTGTTTTGATTTTAAAAAAAAAAAAAAAATCTTAACAATATAATTTAAATTAATAAATAAAAAATAAGATAATCATCCTAATAAATTAAAAATACTTAAGAAAAAATAATTTACACTGATCAAAATCGAGTCAGCTGGTCAACCTGAATCTGAACCGTTTAATAAATGGGTCGGTATTCGGACCCAAACCCGACCCATTTACTGTCAATTTAAATATAGATTTTCCGAATTGGGTTGGTAGGTCTAGTCATTTTTTGACACCCCTACTTAATTCCTTGAAGCTTAATTCACTAAATGAAGCCTTATTTATGAACCCTCAAAAAATCAAATAAGTCAATCGCAAGGTTCGTTTGAGATAATTTTCTTATTATTTTATACTGCAACTTTTAAGTACAACAATTGTTCGAAACCAGAGACCAAAAGCTATGTCAAATGAAGCCATAATCTCATTCCTTCAAATATAAACAAGAGATAAACAATTTTGGAAAAATATTCATGCGATAAAAAGGATTAAACTAGAAGAATATTTACAATATTTAATAATATAAAATAACACTGAATTTCAATATTTGTCTTATAATCCTTAAAAAAAAGCATGCATTATGAGCACCACTAATAGGATACAGTGAAACTCGCCTATTATAAAAACACAATCCATGGCTTGTGCCTGCCACACTCTTCACTTCCCTCCCTCCCTCTCCAATCTCCATACAATTTCCCTTTTCCTTCTACAATCTTCTTTCTTCCTCACATCCCATATGGCCATAATCAATGAGACTAAACTCTCCATCTCCAACACAGAAATTGAAGAACTAAACATTGAAGAAATCGATTACTCAAACAGAGCCCAATGGCTCAGAGCAGCAGTGCTTGGAGCCAACGATGGACTGGTTTCCATTGCTTCTCTCATGATAGGAATTGGTGCCGTCAAAGAAGATCCAAAGGCCATGATCTTATCAGGTTTTGCAGGCTTAGTTGCTGGAGCTTGTAGCATGGCAATAGGAGAATTTGTCTCTGTACACTCTCAGCTTGATATTGAACTTGCCCAGCTAAAGAGGGAGAGCAAGGTTGAAGGTTTAGCTGATCAGCAAAGCTTGCCAAATCCAGTTCAGGCAGCAATGGCTTCTGCCATGGCTTTCTCTATGGGAGCTGCTGTGCCTTTATTAGCAGCTGGGTTTATAAGTAGTTATAAGGTGAGAATCGCGGTGGTGGCGGCAGCTGCTAGTTTGGCCTTGGCAGTATTTGGCTGTATTGGAGCTTTGCTTGGAAGAGCTCCAATAGTTAGGTCAGGGTTTAGGGTTTTGATTGGAGGGTGGGTTGCCATGGCTGTGACCTTTGGTCTCATGAAACTATTCAGATCTGGTAGACTTTGAAGTAACTGGTTAAGAATGGTGTTTGCATGTCCTCTACTTTTACCATGAAGGGTCTTTGATATTTGTTTCTGATATTATGCCAAGAAAAACAAATATGTAATTGGCTTTATGATTATGTTATATATATATATATATATATATATATATATATATATATATTATCTTTTTAA